TTCGCTATGGATCTAGAACATCAAAATGTTAATTAATATAAATGTTTTTATTGTTTTATTTTACGCGATTATAACATGAGGTCCGTCCTAACATCTGTTCCAAGCGTCAACCACAGCTGGAGGTCTCTAAATTTATACGAAAATGGAAAGCTACTCGCCCATACATAGCAAATACTGTTTGCTTACAATCGAACTGCCCTCTATATAGCGATCGATCACCCTCCATTAAGCGGTCACTAATAAATTCCCAAAAAGTCCGCATATAGACCACATTCATAATAAAAGTGACTATTGATTTCATACAATTGACAATATTCTGAAAACATTCAGCACTGCTACATGGAAGAACTACTAGAAATTGGTACATGTGGAATGTTTTGAAGCTTTGGACTATCATAAACAAATATTTGGATTTATATGGAATTCTTTGCATATACTTTAGTAGCCTCCTTTGGTGTTTTTGTGCCTCTTCTAACCCTTATAACTTCAAGAGAATTTTTTTCGGTGAAACTTTTAGAATAATTATACTGTTAGCTTTGGTATCTATGTGAGTGTTTTCGTTTGTCAATATTGTGGACTTAACGACAATATGGTAATTAGTTTCAGCCATGCATTATACATTTACTTCAAAACACCCGTACATAACAAACGCTGTATGCATACAGTCGAATCTTTATGAAATGACCCTCTGTATAGCAACTACCGTCTGTTAAGCAATAAGAAGTATTTTTCATTTAAAATGGACTCAAGAGGTTATCATGATAATGCAAAGTAAACAAATAAAATAACTTTTCAATACCTTGACTTTTATTAGTATTTTTTGGATATCTGATCGATTAGTCACTCTAGACGTCATCGATAATTGTAACATCTCTTCAGTGGTCCAACAGTAAAGAATGCAAAGTACATAAGTAAAATAACTTTTCAATACCTTGATTTTGATTAGAATTTTTTAGATATATGTACAGTGGAATACTTCAGTTTCGAATTCTATTTTGTTTAAGTTCTTATTTAGCTTCAATTAGGCATAAATTCTAATTGTCTTCTTTGTACACAGACTGTTAGTGTTTGCATATTCTCTGCTGAATAAAAGAATATATTGACATTCTTTCGAGGTTAAGGATGCACAAATAAGATCTACAAACTGGAGTATTCATACAAAAGCTTCTGTACTGGTTTCCTGACAAATGTGCAATGATTTATATGATGATAATGGTATATAAGAGGGGAACCTCGTTTCTCTCTCTCTCTCTCTTTCAGGCTACCTGTAAGTCCACAGGAAGCCCAGAAATTATCAATCCTTCTATTCTCCAAATTCTTGATCCCATATCACTAATTAATCCACGAATGCCAAACAAATTCACAACAATAACTGATGTAGAAAGAGCAAGTGTATGGCAGCTATGGTATTTTTTAAAAATTCTTTAATAAACCGTTTGTACCTCTCTATGGGCTTCCTTTGGTAGCCCAGTCCACAATCATTTTCAAGTAACGCCTGGTAAAGATTTACCTCGTCGTGCAGTTTGCTGAAGTTATAGATGAACGTAAATTCAAGGTTTTTTAGTCTGGTTAAGCGATAGACTGCTATCTGAATTGATCGGTAAATATATTTTTAACAGTCCAGGCATCAAAGGTAGGGWTTTTTGTATATTTTAAACCAGTAAAAGATGTAGTAATGTGATGAAAGTTTCATCACTTAATTATCAGCTACATTATGTAGCGAACACGGTGTCGAGTGTGGTACACGATTGTACGGTTTCCCTCAAATGTTCACTTATCTATGTRCTTGATTCGTCAATAATTTTTATACTAACTTAGATAGCAAGGGGCTCTTTCAAGTAATATTTCGTTCATGTTTTCCATTTACGTAGAATTTAATACGTAAAATCTATTAAGCTTATCATTTTTTAAGCAGTTTAAGTTGACTTGTAAGCCAAGCTAATGCTCTTGTTTCTTTTTAAGATGGACCAGTGGATAGAATACAAATATAGTTCAGGACAGACTTTGTTTATATACAACAAGCTGACAGGAGAACACAAGTGGTCTACTGATGTAAGTTTGAGTTCCAGTTAATAAATTCCCTCTTTTTCACATAATAAGCCTTTTTCCAAGTTCAATGCGAGCGAACACTGTTTTATAGACAAAAGACTCACTTACATAGAGGAAAAAAAGAAAGCATGAAAAAATGTTGACATCACAATAGCTTTAGAAAGTAGAATCTTCTACGATTTGACGCTTAGCCTGAGCAAGATGTTAAACCTTCTGGGAATACAGACCTAGCGCTATTGTAATGACAACATTTTTTCGTGCTTTCTTTTGTTTTTGGTCAGGTCTCTGCACAAAGAGACTGTTGTCAACTTAAAATCAGCTGCTGTTCGCTCTGAATGGGAAAATCAGAAAGGCATAATAATATTTTTTGCAACAGTAGCTTAATTATAAATACTGTAAAAATGCAACGTATCTCCTCACCTATTGTCTTGGTATATAATTACATTGTTTCCATCTTATAAAATATTAGTATTACCATACAAGTAGACTATTGCAAATCCTTTGTTCTGATTGGCTACGCTACTTGGGGTCTATTTTCAGTAGTCCTCGACTAGCAAAAAGCGACAACTTTTTGCATATTTTTAGATATAAAAACATTTAGCTATTTATATATTTCATATATTACAATTACACAGATCTCTCAGCCTCGTGGGCTATCAGCTCGTAGTCCACTCGCTCTCGAGATCTAGTTGTTAAGTAGTGCATAAAAAGTGATGTTGAAAAATACAAAGTGTAGCCGAAGCTACTGAGTGTAGATCTAATTTACAATAAATTTTTCCAAGCTTTCGCTGTCTACAGCAATATCAGGGAATAAGCGAGATAAAATAAAACACATAGAATTATATAGCCGAAGCAGCTTTGGCTACACTTTGTATTTTTCGATATCACTCAACTATGCTGCTGAAGAATAATTTTCAATGCATAAAAAGTCTATGTCTTACTTCTGTGACATAAATAAATCCTTTTTTATTTTATTGGGTTAAGCTCTAAAACCTCATCCACCATAATGACAACAGTTTATATATAGAAAAACATCTTCACCCCCCAAAGGAGTAAGGTTTAAAAACTGGATTTGTTATGGCACACGAAGGATAATTAGTCATGATTATTCTTAATATATTAATTTAATATCTTGTATATTAATTATGACACTCAACATTCTTTATACTGTAGAGTACAAACATTAAATGTGTGCAACACTTTCCACTATTTACTACAAAATAGTGTTAATTAAACAATAG